GTGACCGGCTCCCTGCAACAAATAACACAGACACAACAGTCTCTCACAACCGCCACCCAGCAGCACCAGGCGCCCGTCAGCAAGCAATACAACAGCCCGCAAGCACTCTATTCCCCCGAGAACGTGCAGGAGGTGCTTCGGCAACAGACCTCGCCCACGCACGTCCCCACCCTCAAGCCGTGAGTATTCGTGAGTCAGGGGCATTCACTGAGTCAGGAGATGAGTCACGGATGAGTGATGTGGTCTTTTCGGATGAGTAGCGGGATGGGGCAGCGCTGTTGCCATCGTCATCACTGTGATTACTGGCATTTCTCTTATAATATCGTCATTATTGTTCATTATGTTACTGTTATTTTCATCACCAGCTTTTTGTTTCATCACCATCATTATTGCTGTTCTTGATATTATCATTATCATTATCATGATTAATTTGATATTATTATATTATTATTATTATTATTATTATCATTATTATTATCATTATTATCATTATCATTATTATTATCATTATCGTTATTATTTTTATTGATATCATTATCAGCATCATTAGTATTTAGTATTATGATCATCATTATTATCATCATCAATAATTTTGTTTTTTTATAATCATCATCATCGTCATTTCTTTTTCTATATCATTATCATTAGCTTCATCATTATTATTATGGTTCTCAATTATAGTTTAGTTATTATCATTAGTAGTAGCATTTTTCAAGATAGTTTTTGATTTTGTTTATTTAATGATGATAGTGAATAAATAATAATAATAATAATAATAATGATAATTATTATCATGATTATTGTATATTCATTATCATCATTATCATTGTTATCATTATTGCTATCATTATTTTTTGCTATAAATATTGCTATCATAAGTACAACTATTATTATTACTGTTATTTTCATTTTTATTATCATTGTGATCATTATCATTATCATCATCTTGACTATTATCATTATCAGTATTATCACTATCATCCTGTTATCATTATCATTACCATCGACATTTATTGCCATTGAGTAAATAGTAAATGGTAGCAGTGTCTCTTGTTCTTTTTTTTTGTTCTCACGTAACCAATTTCGTTTTTGTGGGAGAGAGAAATCACATTTTATTCCCCTTTTGCATTTTTTTTCTATTTTTTCTACGGTCAAAACTAATCCTACATGTGGATAACGAATAGTAATGACAAAACTGATTATGCTAATGATATATTAGACCAAATGAGGAAGAGCTAACTGATTCTGATTCGCATATTTTCATCTTAGGTTCGGATCCCCTCCCCCCATTTCTCGTTGTACTATATGAATCATAAATGTTATAAATTCGGTCCTTATATTTGTCTCTTTTTAATGAAATAATATGTCTTAAAAGGGTCTTCGGGACGGAAACCTTCTCCAGTTTTTTTTCTTTTTCTTTTCCTACATGTCAGCATGAGGAGACATTTGGCCTAAGTGTTGTTTTTTTCGAATATGCCGCTGTCATGTCACTGTCAATGGACCGTCACATTCTACGTTCCCTTGTTCACTCTGCCTGTCATCAGCTGTTTTATTAAGTGTCTGGAAACAGAGGTTCATAACTTCGGTTCCTGTCTCTTTACTTTTTATTTCCACTTTTTTCTGTGACTTTATGCTTTCTTTGATTTTGCAGATTTTAATCCTGATTTTAAATCGACAAACCCGTCTGTGTTTCCTTCAGACTGTTTATTCAGGAATACCAAGGAAAATATAGCAGAAAATATAAGAACACGATAGAAATTATTATGTAAGGTACATAAGTCTAGGTCTGAGGGTCCTTCAGTGTTACATTTTATTATTTTTTTGTCTTTATGCAGACACAAAGTTACCTACAAATCAAGGATGATAATTAACTAAATTCATCAACTTATCAAACTGTGCCCTCAAGGTAAAAGCATCACATGCCACATCTAACATAAAAGTGACTTAATTTCAAAGAACTTGTTCCTGCTGTCTTCTTTCTTTCATTCTATCTACACATTATCTTTAAGTCTCAGATGAGGTAGACAAAGTTATTCCTGTCTTTTCTTTTGTTTTTCTTTTATATGCATCTTCACAACAAGTAGGCTACAGTTTACTTTTAGTTATTTTTCATGTGTTAACTTACTGTTTATTTTATCTTGCTAAGCTTGCTCTGATTCTTAAAAAAAAAAAAAAAAAAAAAAAAAAAAATCATCAAGAAAACTAAAGCAGCCTTTTAACAGCTCTGCTAATCTAGGCTTTGGTACGTTCTCTGAAAATTCTCAGGACTGTTTCTCCCGCTGCTGCTGACGCTGCGAAAGCCCTAAGAAAAGTGAGGCAAGTGTACCACTAAATTTTACGTTCATGTGCACTGGCTGGTCGGAATGGTTAGAGTAGAAGGTCTAGCTCTAGATCACTAACTTGGAAGAGGATGCATCTCCGTTTTCTTCTTTTTTTTTTGCCTAAGATAACGTTTGCTGATATATATTTATTCATTTTTAAAGATAAGCTATAATCAGGT